CATATAGAGAGTTTATGGTCTATTGGGGAGATCATATCTACTCACCCAAGATAATTACATTATGATAACAGCCCAGAGTAGATATAGTTAATTCATGCTGTTAAAGCTCACAGGGGGCTGAGCATCTAATGAGCTCGGGTGGGAGAAGTGTCATTGATGGAGGAGTAGCTGCCATGAACTCCCTAAAGATTTTGACACTAAATGAACACATTTTAATTTAATGGGCACACTCGTGGGGGAAGGGAACAGCTAAGCTGTCCCGGGAGGTGGCTGGGTCAGAGTTAGACCGCAGGGTCGCTTTCTACCCCACGCAGCAGCCCCAGCACAGGAAGTCACACTTTAAAGCCTCCCCAGGCGGAAGCTGTGGGGGAGTTGGAGGGGTGCTGGGCCACCCCCTCAACTGTCTCTCCACAGGCACCCCGAGCTTCCTGCCCGTCCTCTGCTCCAAGTGACAGGCACTCTGGGTGCTCAGAGCTCACCATCTGTTTTTGCTGTTTTGCTGCAAAATGCAACTGCTAAGGACGGTGCTCGCTGGAGCCAACCAGTGCCAACAAATAGTGCCCACTGCTGGGGGCCCCGACAGACCCGGGCAACAGTGCTGATTGTCTCACGTCCCTTCTGGCTTGCTTCCTTGCTCTTGGAAGTGGGTGTTCAGGCCTCTGGAGTTTTTCCTGTGCTGCCAGTGGGCTTGGGGGTGAGGCAGAGGAGCCTCAGAATTGGCCTTATTTCCTAAGGATTGTCTGGGACCCCAGGGAAGTCCCCAAACCCAACCCAACTGGCCAGAACCAGAGTGGGAGGAGGGCAACCTTGGTCTGCTTCCTCCTGGAACTGGAGATGAGAACCCAGGGATCTGGTTTATCTACTGGGAGGGGGTTGAACAGGGGGGAGGAGCCAGGATGGGGTCTAGTCTGAAGGAAGGATGCTGAGAGGCTGGAAGGAACTGTGTGGCCCTCAGGGAGGGGTGGGTAATGACTTGATGGGAGGAAGCCAGGGGTCGTGGGAGACTTCCCTTTGGGATGGAATGGGAGAGGGAGCCATTTCCCGAAAAATGTGGGCCCAGTGGGACTGGAGTCCATTGCCTGGCTTTGAGGAGGAGGGGAGGAAAGAAGGATTGGAGGGAGAGACTGGCCCACAGGACGAAGGGAGCAGAGGGGATCCCAACTGTTGGCTGGTCCCTTCAGTCTTTATGCTGACTCATGATCCTCGAATTGCTGGGGAAGCTGCTAGTTCCCTCTCCCCTCCCCCAGATCCTCTCCCTCCCTCTGGCCTGAGTCACTGGGCGGAGCTGCTGGGAAAAGATTTCCCTTTCCCGGATCTAATTTAACTCCCAAAGTGCTGGAGAGGGAGGGGACACGTGGCCTGATTTCCCTCCCTCCCTCCTGGGAAGTTTGTTTCTTATAGGCCAGAGATCTCTGGTCCCGGAACTGGAGACCCCCCAGTTCTTCCTGACTCTGTCTCTGCTGGTTGGCTTTGCTCCCAGCCCCGCTGGATAGAATTCCTAGTGCCCCTGACCTGAGATGCTGTGAGCTCTTCTTCGGGGAAAGCTCTTCTCTCAGGATCGGGAAATTCTTCCCATAACCACCCCAAACTCTTCCTGTTGCCACGGAAGCCCCAGTCCTGTTCTCAGGAGAGACGGCACAGTGCCAGAGTGGGCCAGGGAAGGCTGCTGCCCTCCGAGTAGAGGGCTGTGCTCCTGCAGGGGTTGCTGCTGTGTTTCTGAGTGTGGCTTCCCCTGTTTGTGTCTAAGGCCTGGGCTTCTGGGCTGCTGCAGCATCTCCCAGTGGGTGACTCAGGTGTGACCTGGTGTGACCTGCCTACCTGCCTGCTGGGATGTGAGGCCATTGAGGCTGCAAGGTTGGCTACTGGGCCTTTGTGTCCTGGGCTGGGGATTTTGCGATCTGATTTAGTCTGTTGCTCCTCAATGTTTAACATACTTTGAGGACATCCTTTTATTTTTACCTCTCTTATAGCAGAGAAAAAGAAAAATCAAGGCCTTGGGAAAAGCCAGCAAGAAACTGGTCAAAAAAGCAAAGAGCAAAGTCTAGATTGGAGCTCAACACCGACTCCTGGCTTTGCTGTCCAGGCACTTAAGCCAGAACTGGGCAAGTGACTCAGCTGCTGTGGGCTTAGCCTGAGGCTGTAAAACATGCCTTCCAGAACGCCCCAATGTGCAAAGAGCATCCGGACTCCCCGCAGGCCCTCAGCTCCTGATTTAATGGTCACTTGGGTTGGATTACTAGCCTCTGGCTAGCTCTAATTGCATATAACATACATGCCTTTGCCCACTCCTGCCCTCATGGAAACTTTGTCACCTGCCTACCCTTTCCCTGACCCCGAACTTTCCCTTTTATTTCCCTCCCCGTTTTCCCTGGCCAGCCTGGGGCATTTGTGCAGATTTAGTGGTGGAATGGGGTGAAGCCTGGAGTCCGAGGGTGGGATCCTGAGTGAGGTTTTGAAACAAATTTATAAAGAAACTTCTTTTGATTTTGCACTAGGAACGGTGCCCGTGGGAACATCACTCACTTTCACTCCAATCTGATTTTATAAAGAAACTTTTTACTGGATAATGTAATTCAAGAACAATTGCACAGATCCCAATTGTTCACCTCTGTGAATGTTCACAAAGTTAATGCACTGGGCACACAGCACTCAGACGGAGAAACAGCACCCCAATCTTCAGGGCTGCTTGTTGGGAAGGATCAGAACTGAGGTCACCTACCAGCTCCCCATCAAAATTCCTTGAACATCTGCCCTGTGTCCAACACTATTAGCTGCTATGGGGAAATAAGGATAAAATACAGCCAGGCTGGGGTCTAACCAGCCTTGAGTTGGAGGGACACAGGACATTATTAGCACATAGGACGACTGGAGAACAGTTAAGTACTAGATCACATGATGCCAACTGTCCAAACTTAGATCTGATAGGCTCTCCTCTACTGATTCTTCCCCAGGTGCTCCTGGTTCTGTTGGAAATATACCCCTTAGGGGTTACTGGACTGGTCCCTCGCCTCAGGGACCGGGAGAAGAGAGACAGCCTTTGTCCCCAGGGAAAATACAACCACCCTCAAAATGCATCCATTTGCTGTACGAAGTGCCACAAAGGTAGGAGGAAATGGTAACAGTGAGTCTCCTCGGTTACGGGCCCTGCTACTTCTTTTGCTTTTTCCAGATGTCCTAGAACCTGGAGTCCTTGTCCCCAAGTCTCCTAACTTAGCTGCTTCTCCTGGGCTGGATTTTCTGCCTCTTTCTGCCCCTAGAGACTTCAGAGAGGTAGCCCAGACTGCTCTCCCTAGCCTGGGGCTCTTTCCTTGAGCTCTTGGCTGCAGCTTAACCCAGATACCTCCATCACAGGGACCTACCTATACAATGACTGTCCAGACCTGGGGATGGACACGGACTGCAGGGAGTGTGAAAACGGCACCTTTATTGCTTCTGAGAACTACCTCAGACAATGCTTTAGCTGCTCGAAATGCCGAAAAGGTGAGTCTGAGGAGAGGGCAAGGGCTCTAAACAGGATGTGTCAGGGTGGGCACTGAGAGAGGGGCGTGTGCGCCTGTCCATCTGCGAGGGTGCGCAAATCTGTGCTGCGTGTGGGCAGG